CTAAGGGAGCCGCTGGAAATAGGCGTTGGAAATAGGCGAGCAAAACTGCCGCCTATGAACGAAACAAGCAAGTTCGATGCGGCGTATCGGCCTTGACGAAGAAGTGTCGCAGACAATCGCAGACAAGGCAAGGTTGCGATTTCGTCAAGGCACGACGAAGGACGCAAACGACACAGCAGCAAAGCCAAGGGAGGCGAAGTCGAAGCAGACGGAGTCAAGCAGACGGATTTGACGCAGACGAATTCGAGGCAGATGAAGCGCGACGAAGGAAAGGACAAAGTCGAGCAGACGACAAAGTATGATGGAGCAGGCTACGATTTCGATCCGACAAAGAGATAATGAGGCTACTCGGGTCGTCATGGAGACGCCACGGGAGTAAACCGTAGCAGAGACATCGCCATATATATATATATATGGTAAAATGATCTCATCATGCTGATAATAAATCTTTCAGAGCACGAATATGATGCTGCTAGATATTTTGATGAAAAAACAATTAAATCGAAAAGTTTGCTAACTTCATGTCATGACACTATTTAATATACTAATTTTAAAGAACACATGACTCTACATTGATCAACTTGGAGTTTTAAAAAAATATAAGAAAATTTGGTTAGGTTATCGTAACTAAATTTTGCCATAATGGATTTTATGGCCATAATGTGGGCTCCAAAAATTTGCTCTTCGCTCTCGTTGAGAGTTTTGAGTTGTTTCAGGTTAAATTTTTAGAAAACAGAAGATATATATAGTACATAAGACACAACTGAGATGTTTTGTCTTAATTTTGAAAGGATTTTAAGGTCTGAAGTTTGAAATTTCTCATGCTCGTAAGCCCCTATGATTAATTACACCTCTCGGTGATCAAAAAGCACTTTGACTAAGAGTAATCATTAGGCCTTAATTATTTAGACTTCACATATGATGGCAACAAATATAGTTTTTAGGTTAAAAGATTTATCACCGATAGCTCCAAATAAATATAGGGAGAAATGATGACGAACTCAATCAAGATCTTATGATTCAGTCATTCCGGGTTGTCATGGTCTCTAATCTACTTAGTCAGAGGAGCTAGTCAACGCAACCTGACCGAATGATCTTTGTCAGTAGTCATTGGTTGTGTCCTATGATTCAGTCATTTCGGGTTGTCATGGCCTCTAGTCTACTTAGTCAGAGGAGCTAGTCAACGCAATCTGACCGAATGATCTTTGTCAGTAGTCATTGGTTG